TCCTACAAAGCATTGACAAGAACCATAGGACATAGCTACAATATTTTTCGACCTAGTATCTACAAGATACGTTTCATTGAAATCAGTGACCTCACATCCATAACCTCCCCTTGTGGGAGGTCTGGGATTATTGTAATTTTACAGCATTTTAATTGCTAAGCAATTTTTTTCCAACAATTATGTTTGCTCCTACAATTATAAGCTAAAAAATATAAGATATGTAAGAGTATGAGTTAGGATTCGGCAGCTGCTGACAACACTGTGCCTTAACTCTTGTGATGTAGCTTTGTTCTCACCACTTCAGTTGAATGCTAAATATCTTGGCAAACATGGATCAGAATAACTTAATCTTCATCGACATATACAAACTGAAAATTCATGCTAGAACCCACCTATTCTAAACCTGACCTTTGTAAATCATTTTATATTTAATACAAATGATGGATGACAAAAATACAATGGAGATAAGTGGCAGTGGAGATTGGACAAAAATGAACTTTTTGAAAGACCAGATGAAGAATGTATGGCTTATTACACTAAAGACGTCCTTATTAGAACTCTGAACCCTGGTTGTTGATGGGATACTCCAAAGAGATTATAGGAGAGTTAGATGGGCAGCAATAGTATAGCTCACTACTAATATCCACTGAGGCTGTTTGTTAAGCTGATTATTACTGAAATTACTCACTCAATATCATAACTGTTTTAATTGTCAAATAATATAGTTTAGATACATAAATTTCCTCCACTTTCCTTTATAATTATGATTGATTTCTTCTATACAAGTAAATTTTATAAATGAAGCTCACAATATCTGGTTTTAGCTTCCTTATGGTGGTTCATGACTTACGATTATTCATATCATTGGAACAAGTTTGGGCATCAGGCTCAGTACAGATGACTTGGACATAGTACATCGCCGCAGAAGTAGAAAAGATGACCCACGACCGCCGCCTGTCATCGCGCGCTTTGTCAAACAGTCAGTCAGAGACGACTTAATAACGAAGAGGAAAGTCAAGAGAGACCTCACTACTCGGGATATCGGCTGGCAGGAGAATGACTGTCACCGGATATATCTGAGTGAGGAAATGACTCCCACGAACAGACACTTATATTGGCTTGCCCGACAGAAGAGAGCTGCGGGGAAAATCAAATATATGTGGTTTGCCGCCTGAAAGGTTCGATGTCGGAAGGAGGACGGGCATAAAGTTATTCTGATTGAACAGGCCTCGGACCTCGATATATTTTCCTAACCAGGAAGAATTCGTCTACTCCTCATCCTCATTAAAATAACTTTGAACTCAATTATCTACAAAGGAGCATTTTCACTTCTACGCATAGAGATATCTCTTCACATTTACACACTAATTTATATTTTATTGACCATATGTTTTTTATTTATTTATTTTTTTGTTTCTGCTTACACTTTCTTCTCTGCTATTTTCATTAATTTTAAACGCCTTTTTGTATTTTCTATTTGTTTTAGAGTTTCTCTACCAAACTCTGACTGTTTCCCTCCCAATTCCTGTCATGACTAGTACCCTAATCACCTGTCATGTTAACTCTCAATCCCTCCCTGCCCACAATGACGAGTTCCTGCAATATTTCACTCAAAACTTTTATCATATTATCGCAATCTCTGAAACTTTGCTTAAACCTTACATCCCATCCTCTTCTGTTTCCTTGCCTAATCACACCGGTCATGACCGGGTAAACCGGAATGGCGGAGGAGTAGCCATGTTTGTCCATAATAGCCTGAAGACTCGAATCCTCGATTCCTCACCACCCTCCGATCATCCTCAAGTTGAATACCTTCTAGTAGAAATCCATTGTAAGGATCTTCCTCTCCTTTACACTGTGGTATATCGTCCTCCCCATATTCCATTTGATCAATCATTTGAATCAACCCTATTCAACTTCGTTCCTCTATATCCCAAAATAATCATCTCCGGTGACCTCAATACCAATTTCCTCTCTAACTCCAATGACAAATCCTATCTAGAAAACCTAATTTTCTCTCTGCACCTCTTCATCGTTCCATTTTCCCCACCCACCACACCAGCAGGTCCGACACTTGGCTAGACTTCTACATTATAGACTCTGCACAAAATCTCCTCTCCTCTTCTCAATTGCCAGTATCATTCCTATCATCTCACGATCTTATACAAATAACATATAATATCCGAACTCCTTTAATCCAGCCTCGAACTATCACCTTCCGTCACCTAGATACCCTTACTCGAGAAAAAATATTATCTGACCTAGAAACTCTAGATTGGAATGGAATATATTCTTGCTCTTCTATCGACTCCATGGTTGACATTCTTACCACCAATCTTCTCAATATTCTCAATACCCATACTCCCCTCAAAACCTCTACATTTCGTCACCGGCCTGCTCCTTGGATGTGTCAGGAAATCAAAGATCTGCATAAGAGGCGCGACGCTGCAAGAGGTCGTTTTAGACATACTAGGCTTGCAGATGACTACCAAGCGTTTAGGTGCTTCGCAACTTGGCACAGACAAGGATCTGGCGTGCGAAAGCTTCCTACTTCCATGAAACCCTTTCCTCAGCTCCTGATATCAACTCGAAATGGCTACTGCTTCGTAAACTTTCCATTTGTAATCCTTCCAGATCCCCTACCACAGCCTTTCCTGTATCCTCCGATGATTTAAACTCTTATTTTATATTTGTCGCTAATACCTCTTCTCTACCTTCCTCTTCCGGCTTTTCTACAGATATCCTTTAACGGCAATAATTTTTATTTTTCCGACATTTCTTCCACAGACCTGTTAACCGCGGTAATGAAATCCCACACCGATTCCATAGGGCCAGACGGCATCCCTGTCAAATTAATAAAAATATGTCGCCCTGAAATCCTCCCAGCTCTCCTTTTTATCTACAATTTCTCCCTTCAGAATTCAGTATTCTCTACCTCTTGGAAAAAAACCATTGTTCTTCCTTTAAATAAAAAGCCTTATCCATCCTCACCCGAAGATTTCCGTCCAATTTCAATTCTTTCTAACCTCTCAAAGCCTCTTGAAAGACTGGTGCAATCCCAAGTCTCCAAGTTCTTCGAAAAGTCCAACCAATTTGATCCTCTCCAATCTGGTTTCCGTCCCGGCTACTCCATACAATCTGCCTTAATTAAAATTACCAACAACATTCAATCTGCAATAGATAATAGAAAATTAACTGTCCTTATAATAATCGACTTCTCCAAAGCCTTCGATTCCATCAATCCTCTTCAACAAACTAAAATCATTATCTTTCTCCAATAGTTCCATCTCGTGGTTCCAATCTTTCCTCTCCCAACGCACCAAAGGAGTCTCCATACCCAATCAACCACTATCTGCCTACCTTCCTTTATCCTCCGGGGTTGCCCAGGGTTCAAGCATATCTCCTCTTCTTTTCAGCTCCTAAATTAACGACCTTCATAATTCGATTCTCCATTGTTCCCACCACATATATGCAGACGATTCCCAGATCTACCTATCCTTTTCTCCCTCTGAGTTATTGGTAGCATTTGCCAAGATTCAAGAAGACCTTGATCGAATCAGTGCCTGTGCAAATGTAAATGGATTAAAGTTAAATGCTGCCAAAACTCAGGCCATTGTCATTGGTTCCAAGCCCCTTATTAAATCCCATACTGGCTTTCCCATATTACACCTTAATGACCAGCCAATTTCCTTCTACTCCTCTGTTAAAAATTTAGGATTTTTCATAGATCAAACCCTCTCCTGGAACAACCATATTTCTCACATTTCCCGTAAGACAATTTCTACTCTTAAACTATTTCATCGCTTCCGCCATCTCCTACGTCAAAATACCCATAGACTCCTAATGTCCTCTGTCATCTTCCCCCTCTTTGACTACAGCTGTGTGGTGTATGATGGCCTCTCGGTGGAGCTCCGTGATAGACTGAAAAGATTAATGAATAGCTGCGTAAGATTTGTTATCGGTGCACCGAGGTACTCCCATGTCTCTCATCACTACACTGAGTTAAGGTAGCTCTTCCCCTCCTATAGAAGACAATATTTCCTAGGTACATTCCTCTATCAAATCATCAACAACTATCGTCCTTCTTATGCCTACAACCTTCTCCAATTCAAGTCCTCAGTCCATTCTCTTTCAACAAGATCTCGACCTTCTGACCTCTACATCCCTTCACAGAGATCTGCCTCATTTCAGAATTCTTTTATAGCTCGCGCTGTCAATTTCTGGAATTCTCTACCTATCAAAATTCGGCATTCCCCCTCCATATCCACATTCAAATCCCTCCTATTCTAATTCCTATCCCAAAAACAGTCAGATACTTGCTAAACTTTCGATATTATACATTTCTAGTCATCATCAAACGATAGTACTATTCTATACTGTGAACTTCACTAGGGATATTACAATATCTTCCGGCTCTTAATACCACTGACCGCATCTATTGTTTTTTTTTTTTGTTTTTTTTATGATTGTTTTTTATGGGTATATAATTAAATTTGTACCTCTAGTATTTGACAATGATGAGTCTACATATTAATCATTATTTAAAGACACTGATATTTTATATTGTCAGCTCTGTCTTTTCTTTGTTAGCAGAAACACACCTCATTTTAAAGAAGAACTCAATGTATTATTTATTATTTTATTTTTCAAAAGACTATTATTATAATCTTTCCTACTGTACATAGTCTTAAGTGTTTTATCATAGTTTTAAGTGTTTCGTATATAGATTTTTTTTTTTTGTATATAGCTTGTTTAACTAATATTTTCTTTACTTTCTCTTTTTTATTATTGTTTTATTTTGGCCAGATGTAGTATTTTAATTATGTTCTATTTTGTTATTCTAAAGGGACTTTGTCCCAGAATAAAGTTATTTTCTATTTCTATTTCAATATAGAAATTAGGTTAAGAATTTTGGACTTTCTCTATTTATAATTTTGTTAAAATATTTCTAATAGTGTATATTTCTATATTTATTATTAATACATAATTTAATTCCACAGCCTGACTTTTCCAAGTATAAATATACATGCCAGCATGGAGTCCCTGAATGTGAAGGAAATAAACTTCATGGTTGTGCTATAAAATATATTGAAGATAAAAGTACATTGCTCCATTATTTTTCCTGCCTAATAAACATAACACAAAGTGTACCAATTTTGTCTTATCCAGTCAATGAGGTAAACATTTTATTTTCATGAAAAAAATTACTAAATATCTGCATCACATAAAATCATTTATTCCAATTACTTTATTCTCTTCGCTACTGGTCAGATCCATTAAGCACTAATTAGTATTGCACAATCATACCCATTCAAAAGAAATATCTTAAATATATCACTTGTTTATTTTCCCAATCTTTATCATATATCCCAAGAGTTGTAGAATTTATAACACTCAACTTTGCATGATTATTTCTAGAAAAAAAATGTTGACTTCTATTCTCAAATACTTTTAATGAATAAAAAAGTTTTTGAGGATGCCTTTACCCCCCCGAGATGGTCAAAGTGGGGCAACTACCCTCCCTTCCAACATAGAAAAAAAAATGGAGTATAAAAATATGAAAATCAGGATATTTGTTTACCAATAACTGTCTCTATATTTATTTAAAACATTACTTTATTCCTAGAGAAGCTTTCTGTGACCTGTACCATATTCATCTCTATAATATAACACATTTCAACCAATAAATAAATTATTTCTATAGAAATAAGTAATTTTTTAAATAAATATAGAGACTGTAATTGGTAAAAAAATATCCTGATCTACTAAAACATATAAAACAGTTTAAGATTACCTAATAAGTAAGAAAATTTAAATGGATCCTGTACATTCTCATGTACTTGCAAAACTAGTTTCAGTAAACCACACTTGGATCCGAATTGCATCTGAAGCATTTCGAACAAGCCCCATTCTTGGTTTCTGAAGTGAATCCGGACTATCATCACTTTTATTTAGAAGATTAAAATTTGTATTTTAATAAAAAACCTGTACATCCGACTTACAAATATATTTTTAACTCAAAATTTTCCACTTCTTTTAGACAAATACAAAAAGCAACTCTTCCTCTATCAAAGAAAATCTATGCGGCTTTTCTTTCCTTAAAATGAAAACAATTGGCCATTCTGGAAATGATAACTCACCAGAGACCAACCAATGCTCTATAATAATTCTGGGACATGCCAATGTCCAAAAATATTATACAAACATCTGATTATAAAATTCACATTTTTCGCATTCTCCAAAACATGCCGGAAACCTTTATAATCTACTCTGACTGATCTATAACTGTCAGATTAAATCATCTTTCATAACTCAGCATTCAACCTATAAAATAAAAATTGATAAGCTATGTAATGTATATACTGAAGAACTTAATGCAATAACAGCAGCAGTTCATTTCTGTACTTCATCAAACCTACAAATTATAGTTTTAGTTACAGACTCTTTAATCTCATTAAAAGGCTTAGATTGTATGTATCTTTGATTTTTTCTTGCATCCACTCCTACTTGACAAATTTACAAAAGCTAGGTTAGAATGCTAAATTTATATGGGTACCAAGCCATGTAGTAATCCCAAGAGAAACACTTGTGCTACCTCCGCAGGATCAAGCAATTCTAACTCCCTCAGAATTATGTAACACATAAAATAAAAGGCTTATACACTCCACTTAATCTCAAAGAAAGTTCTACCAAATTTTTAATATTGTAATATTAATGTGAAAATAAGTTATAATGTTCAGAAATACTCAAATTTTTCCTCAGACCTCAATAGTCTTGGATTAAAACCCAAATTTGTTTCAACCCTTAAAGATGACAATTAAATTATAGAATTAATCTTCAAATTCATAAAATCCAAAAATATGTTATTGTATAAGTGATAGGTGTGTGAGTCTGTATTTGAGCGTGTGAGTCTCAAAAAATCGCATAGATGATCCTTTGAAGTTTCATCTCACTAAACAATAACAAACAAACAATATATACATATATATACATACATATATATTTTATCATTATATTTGTTGTGTATGCAACACACACACGTGAGCGCACATGCTCACACACCTATCTATCACTTATATATATTCAATGAAAAAATGCAAAAAAAAAAAAAGGATAAACATTTTTGTTTAAATTAAATCAATTTACTCTTCAAAATGTATACCGTTAGCAATAGTTTGGCAAAAATGGTTATGACAATATTTTTTCTAATTCTAATTTCTATTTTCTCTTTATAGTGTAAGAACATAGTTCCTGATGACAAAATGCTACAAATTTCTAAATGTTACAATTCAACTGAAGGATGGGACTTGTTTAATAAACACGGAGAAGCAACTAAAAACTTTTTTGGTTCAAACCGTTTTTATGTCCCATATGTTTCTTTTAATCGTGTAAGTAATCTTGTTTATGTGTTTCAAGTATTCTCAAAGGCTAACATTTTTACTGAAGTGACATTAATATTTTGAATGAATTATATTCAATAGGGATAGAAATATTGATGTAATTGAATAAATATATTGTATAATTGTCTTTAAAATAAATTGATATTTCAATTTTTGGACATTGAATTTAAATCTTAGAGTAGTAGCAGCTGTAATAAAAAGGATTACATATATATATATATATATATATATATATATATATATATATATATATATATATATATATATATATTTTTTTTTTTTTTTCACGAAAAGTATCAATTTATTATTAATAATAAACTGCTACTTTAATTAATTAATTTTAGTAATATAGTATTAGGAACAAAATAATCAATTAATATGCTTTAAAATTTGTGTTAGTCAATTTGTGTCATTATATCCATATGTTCAAATTTACTAAATGTATTTCTGTAATACAGTTGTAATTATCATTAAGAAATAAGAGAGAAGTATTTTATTGAAAGTAGTGCTGACCTACTACATAGGGTTGCTTTACACACAGCATACCGATTAATCCATTTGGACATAATTTATAAAAGAAAGAAATTGTTTTATAAAAGACTTGATGCTAAGAACTAGACAGAAATGAATTCAATTGCAAAAAATAAAATAAAATATCAAAGAAAAGAAAATTCAATTAATAATAAAAGAAATCTCTACAGAGGATTCACCTCGTTGGTAGTAAAATAAAATCTTCCAGATAATCTATTTCTTATTTGATGTTTCATGACTTTAGCACTATTAAAAATGGTTAACAATAATAATAATAATAATAATAATAATAATAGGTCCCCAACTATTACATATTATAAACACCATTGTATATGTGGAAAATAAAGAGATAATAATAATAATAATTTTTATTGCACGTCTTTCTGTTAATTTCAAAATATTGATATAAATAATAAAATTACACTGCTGACTTTTGTTTTAGCTCAAAACATGTTCAAATTTTGGTTATGAAGCAGTAAACTTTGATATTAAGCATGTTTTGAAAATTGGAATAAAACACCGGAACGTTAATTAAAAAATATGTTAAAATTTGTTTAGGCTTCCCAAAAAATAAAGAAGAAAATATATATATATATATATATATATATATATATATATATATATATATATATATATATATATATATATATATATATATATATATATGTATGTATATATATATAAAGAATTTACATTTACATTTTAAAGGAAAAAAAAAAAAAAACTTATTACTAAGGTCTGATTTTTTAAATGAAATAAAAAGTGTTTATAATATATTTATGGCTTGATTCAAATTGTTCTAAGAATACCAATTCTTGTGTCCCTTTCAGTAATAAACCAGAAATCACTGTCAATGACATTGGCTGATAACTTTTTTATTTGTTTTTGATAATGTGTTTTATAAAATCAAATATTTACTAAAACTAAATGTTTTTCTAGGAAGAACATAAATTGTTAAAAAATTGACATTGGCCTTTTTAAAACCTTGATATTTTTTGTTTGTTTGAATATGTTTTGTTCTCGATGGACATATCATCAAGAACAAAACATATTTGTTCATTATTTTTATCTTTTCAATTTAAAAATGTCAATATTTTAATCTTCTTAATCTTCAATTTTAGACAAAGAATGAAAATATTTCAGTAATTGGAAGAAAAAACTTCAAAAAGGCGCTTTGTATTGAGAATGGTGTGAAACATACTACTTGTAGTTAATTAAAAGTTTGATGGTTCCCCATGGACCATCCAAGTCATCATTCCAACACTGGCATGTTTTATCTCCTTTAGTGCCTTAAGTTATTTTACAATTATATTTGTTTGTAACTGAAGGGTTGCATTAATAAATTATGATTCATATTGAACTATAAACTGTAGACAATCATTCATATGTAAATCAAATATACTTTGTTTGATTATGTACAATGTAAAATAAAGGAGTTTCACCATACCATCTGGACAGACTTTTTTTTTAGTTTATTTTTCTATGATTAGTTGTGTTATTTTTATTACTCTATTAGATTGGAAATGTGTTTTATAGCATAATATGCTTCATTTACAATATATTTCACCAAGCAATTAAAATAATAGAATCAAACCATGAACATTAAATTAGATTTTTGAAAAAGGCAACTGAGATAGACTGAATGTGTCAAATTTGTAGTAATGATTGATTAATCAAATGCGCTACATGAAAAAATTATTTAGAAAAACCAATTCCTCGAAGAATGTATTGGAAGAGGAAGTAAGTTCTTAGAAAAGATAGAAAGGAAGAACATGTTACACTTTGATTGAAATAATAATAAACATGATTGGATTGTGGTTAGTCATGAAGTTTGTTCTTGAAAGAAAATTATTATCTTCATTGAACTGATTGAATTGAAGAACATAGCTAAGAAGGAGGGTTAAAGAGTAGATAAAAATAAATGAAAAAACATTTTTGTTTTTTCAAGAAATATTATTTTTTATCTAATCTCATGTTGGTTTGACTAACATGCCATAGGTATATTAAACAATTATTTCTCAATGTATTGTTTTGTTGTTGATGATTGTGAACTAATGAGTTGAGTTTCTTTGCTTTAAAATCTTAGCACAACACAAAACACAAAATTAACTCCTATTCTCTTTATATTTTAACCTTTTGTTAGCAAATTTGCATTGTTTATGAGATAGTTTACAAGAATTACCTATATAAAGTAAATTTTAGCATCTTACAAAAATATATATATTTTCACTTTCACTTCTACGCAATATATAGAAAGGGTAAGTATTGCGATTGTAGAAATTTTCGAATCTGAGTTTTCAACAGAAATACAGTTTTTGAGGTCTCCTGGGTCCAAATAACCAAGTCCCGTAAAATGGTCTGTTTGTGTGTGTGTGTATGTATATGATCATTGTAGCTCAAAAACGAAAAGTCATATGAAAGTGAAATTGCATCTTTAGATTTGTATATTCCTTTGATGTTACAGCAACTTTTTCGTCAAAATTGACTTACCGGAAGTGGAATTTTATATAATCCATTTAACACATTTTTACGATTTTCTCTAAAACGGCTTTAATGATTTTGATAAAACTCAATATATCAGTGTATCATTAAGCAGTTTTTAATATAATCTAGGTTTTATTCTTATTAATGTTCTCTAACAGGGCTTAAATGGCTACTTTCAATATCAGCTTCCTTTAAAGTACCTTTAATTTTTTTATTTGTAATAATTAACCATTTCACATTAATCCTTGTGTGATATAAAAAATAGCTAAATATAAAATATGAAAGAATTTGATAATTAACTTAAGAAGAAATAAGAGATTGTAACGGATAATAGTTGAAATAGAGGAACCAAAGGAATAAAAGCTCGCCCAAGATCATCCGAAAGATTATAACAGGCCTCCATATGAAGCATGAGCATAATATCATATGGACTCCAACAATATTGTGTACATACACATATGCGGTTTTCATAAATTCTTTCGTTAGTATTATTTAATATTTAATTGTATATATTACACCTATATAGAAATTAAAATTTGTATATATATATATGGATAGTTAAAAAAAATAAAAATACCTTCAATGAAATTTAAATAAATATAGCGTCTATAATTTTTACTTTCACTTCCCCTTTGTCTGAAAATACTTATTTCTGTTAAGAAGAGGCTGGTAAGTGAAAGTCGTGTGATGCGCACCAGATTTTCAATGGTGCATGTACCATTCACCTATTCATAATGTTACAGTTGAAGGAATTGTTATCAACTCTCACTTTCCAATCTGATATTGTGTTGGTATATCATTTTCTGTGTTAAGTAAACAAGTCATTGCTTTTTGTTGCAACTAATAAATTTTGTAAATCTAATTATCAACATTTTTAGTTCAATTAATAAACATTAAATATATTAACTTCTAGCTTATTATATTACTTGGGTAGATTTTGTTACTTTTCCCGCCATGCATTAACAAATAATCTGATTAATTTAAATTTTTCAATGCTTAAAAATTACAATATCCTGAATCATGTGGTTATGTTTATGTATAATATTGTAAATAAGAAAAATAAATATTAATGCCAGAGTTAAAAGCCTCCTCAGGCACTAAGATGCAAACTCAAAATTATATTATATTATCTGTCATCAGATTTCCAAGCAACAAGATGCTGCGCATACACGTTAGCCCACTCAGCTACCCCATCTCTAGGCTATTTACAGTTATACTTGCTGTGCTCTGTTCAATGTTTTCCCTTGTTTTCTGATTTGAAAGTGCTTCCAAATCAAAATCCCACAAAAAAGTTTCCCTATAAAATTCGTAACCCTGTAAACATATGTCCTCCTCAAAAACCCGTAAAAATGTGCTCTCTCAACAAATTTTTGGTGATGAAATTATCAAATAATTTGGTAGTTATTATGTTTGTATAATTATATTTTAATTGGACTTCAAGAATCACTTAAATATCATTTCATATAGGTAGTTAGTTTCTTTCTTTTTCTTCCGAAGTAATTATCATTGTATATATTTTTAAAAGACTTTTGGTGCTGAAGCTCTTCTCCAAAATTAAATCCTGAATCCACTACTGAATGTTATCTTAATTATAAATTAATATGAATTAAAATTTAATTTATCTATTTTGTTGCTGTATTATTACCCTCTGCAATAACATTTATTTTCCTTTTTGAATTTAATTCAATCAAGGGCAACATTTATTTTGGCTAACAATTGGTCGCTATTCCTGAACAAATTAAATTATCTTAGCACTTTGAACTTTCCTTTCTTTTCTCCTCCTGACTGTATGTCTGTTAGTTTGTAGTTTATTGCAATTTGATTACTTTATTAAGTCAGAATAGTGTGTTCCTAGGTATATGTTTTAAAATTTACTATGGAAGACTTCCTCTTTGTTTTTCCCTCTATATTGATATGTCAGGAACTAAAGGTATGAAATTAGTGGTCCTTCTTAAGAACTCCAGACTTCCGAACAGCTTGGTTCCATGGTCTGTGGGTTGGGATTTGTTCCACATGTCCTCTAGTAGCTGGCAGCTTTGCACAATGTGCTCTGTAGTTTGTTCATTTTGGTCACATTGGGTCCTAGGGACTGGGTTCTATCTTAGACTTCCTGAAGAGATTTGATTTCATGCGGTTATGTCCAGTTCTGAGGCAAAAAATGAAGACCTGTTCTCTTCAGGTTAGCTTGAAATAATTGTCATGAGGATTGTGATTTGGGCAAAATGCTTTTCATCTTTGGCTTATGGCTGCTTTGTTAATAGTTCTACACTCCACCAACCTAGGTAGGCTGCTAATTTGGGGAAACCTTGTTCCTACCCACTAGCGGATCCAGGATTTAATTTTGGAGGGGGCTTCAGCCCGAAACCTTTTTTTTTCATAAAAATAACGATAATTACTTTGGAAAAACAGAAAGAAACTCACTACCTATATGAAATGGTGTTTAAGTTATTCCTTAAGTACTTTTAAACGTAATTACACGAACAATAATACTTTAAGAGGTATTTTTAAAAATTTTTTCCCCATAAAACATGGTTATATTTTTCCATTTTGGGGGGGCTTCAGCCCGAAAGCCCCCCCGTAGATCCGCCCGTGTTCTTACCTAAGCCAATCGGTCTGCAATTTCATTTCCTGCAACCCTACAATGCTGTGGAATCCATTGTAGAACCACCTCTTGTTATTACGTTCTTAAATCTTCTGGCTGCTCAGCTAATGTGTGTAGCAAACTCTTGCATTTATTTTTGAGACATTCAAGAACGTATGCTACATTTATCAGGAATACCATGCATGACAGCGGACACCTCTTAAGACCCTTTAGAATCTTGGCTACAGTCAGAATGAAGCCATGCTGTGCTCTATAATTTGTTGAGACAAGTCCAGTGGGTAGAGCTTTTTGGAGAATTTGTCTGTTAGAGAATTCAATATGGATGCCTCCTCTTCAGTTTGTAATTGTATTTTTAGCAGATTTATCTGTGTATAATAATAATAATAACCTTTATTTGTGCATACAATGAAAAAAACAATGGATCAAATTTACAAAATCTCTTATATGTACAAAATCAACTTAGTTGAGGTTTTGAGTTCGATTTCTTTCTTTTTTCTTTTTTTTTTTATATTTAACTTTCTTGTAACCACACTTGGTAATGAACCTGTCCCATCCTTTTCCATTCTTTCCTCTCTAATGCTACTCTCTTCCAGGCTGCTCCCCCGCAGGACTTCTTCATCTCCTTGTCCCAGTCGGTCGGCGGGCGTCCTCTCTTCCTCACGTGCTCTCTTGGATACCAATCCATAAACTGTCTGGTCCATGTTAATTCATTCCTCCTGATTACATGTCCGGTCCAGGTCCACTTCCTGATGAGCACTTTTTCCACAATATCTGGAAGGTCAGTCTTAGCTCTGATCCATTTGTTTGTTTTTCTATCCCTTCGAGTTATCCCCAGAAGATATCGCTCCATTCCTCTGACGGTTATCCTCAATTTGTGGCAAGTCTTCTGGTCAATTTCCCATGTTTCACAACCATATGTCATGACAGGAAGTACTGTGCTCACCCAAAGTTTTCTCTTTACCTCTGAGCTCACCGAGAATCTATATATATCCTTAAATTTGAAGAGTGCGCGCCATCCCTGGGTACATCGCCTGATTATTTCTTCATTTTGGCCTTTGATTGAGATAAGGTGCCCAAGTTATAGAGATGTTTCTACTTTCTTTGTATGGTGTTCGCCTATTTTTATAT